GCCGTGAGGCCCTGAACCCGGCACAGTGGGTAATGACAGGAACAGAGGCACCGTGAGGCCCTGAACCCGGCATGTCACAGTGAGTAATGACAGGAACAGAGGCGCCGCGAGGCCCTGAACCCGGCACAGTGGGTAATGACAGGAACAGAGGCACCGTGAGGCCCTGAACCCGGCATGTCACAGTGGGTAATGACAGGAACAGAAGCGCCGCGAGGCCCTGAACCCGGCATGTCACAGTGGGAAATGACAGGAGAGCAAATCCACTTCATTCTTGGAAATTTTATTTACTCTATAAAACGATAAACAACAGATAAAACTCCAATTTCCCCAAGAAATATGTCCATTATTTTGCAGGTCTGATTCTTTTTAAAACCAAGCAAGACTCTGTCCATGAGCAGTTGGCCTCAAGTCCTCAGGCACACGAGCAGAATTAAGTCACTGTCCTATTTACTTATCATCCAGCTTTCCACCATCCTCGGCTGTTCCAGCTGGGGGTCTCACGTCTGCATCCTGATTGGCTGAGAGGTGAAGGGAAGAAAACCCTTCATCCAATGGAAGACTGGGAGAGTTCTCATTGGCCAGCAGGTTGCTCTTGCGCAGACGACAGGCCTGCTCATAGGGCGGTCGAATCGGAGGCTGGGTGGGGGGTGTGTATTTGTATTCCTTACTGGGGTCCAGCTAGAGACAAACAGAAAAATGTTTTAAATCGGATTTGCTAAGTCTGCCAAGTTCTAACTCCAGTCAGCACCACATATATGCAAAAATGTAAAAATGTTCATTTTAACAGACACCAGCAACCTCAGCTTGCTGTCATAGCAACCCAGAGAGCACCTGGAGGGGATAGGTCCGGTCCGAGTCAAAGGCACTAAGATCCCCGCAGGCCAGGAACGGCACAATGACCCGGTTTGGTCCCTCAAGCTGGTTAAAATCCACATCTGGGACAGAACATCAGAGGCAAAGTGACACCTTGGCATCTCACATGTGCCAACCACAGTTAAGCTTGTGTATGAAATATAACGTACATGAGCACAGCATTAAAGGGGAGGAGACAGCAAGAAAAGGTCATGCCACTGTATGGTAAGGTGCCAGAGTTAAAGGGGGGGAGACTGCAAGAAAAGGTCATGCCACTGTATGGTAAGGTGCCAGAGTTAAAGGGGGGGAGACTGCAAGAAAAGGTCATGCCACTGTATGGTAAGGTGCCAGAGTTAAAGGGAAGGAAAGAGTATCTCACTGCATTTTAAGGTGGCACAGTGTCCAGACGTGTCTGAGGTTGCTCACCATAGCAGTGATCCAGCAGGGGGTTGGACATGTTGGGGACGTAGCCCTCGGGAGGGGCATACCTCTGACACACCACAAAGGCTTCTGAGGGAGAGAGAGTCACAGCCCACGGTCACCCCCCCCTCCACATACACAGGGAGGTGCGTACTTCAGCACTGTGTGCAAGCTAGTACCCATCTAGAAGTCCTCTTATGGTGAACAAGGTTAAAGCAACATGGTGAACGGTTATTAAAGGTGACTAGGGTGCCTGCTGTCATTGTGTCCTCCACATGCCTGCGGTGAAAACAGGTCAAACCCCAATGTGTGGCGGAGGGCTGGGACATGCCACTCACCGATGCTCGAGTTGCGGCTGCTCCTAGGCTTGGCACATGTGACCTCGCCAAAGAAAATCCTGAGCTGGGAGTACAGAAGGGTGACGTCCTTTCCACGGAATATCTACAAAGGCATAGGACATGAGGTCAGAGCCCACATCTCCCCAGAGACCAGTGCAAACAGCAGCTCATTTACATTTAACAGGCACATGAGTGAGGATCAGACAACAGGGTCAGTCTCTAATGCAGCTGGGGTTAAGGGCCAGCAATGGGATTTGAACCAGTGCCCTGCTGTTCACAGAGCCACACAGCATCCCAACAAGTCAGATGGGTAAACCCCAACCCCCAACCCCCACCCACACCTTACCTTTGCCACAAAAGTTCCTCCATATTTCAGGACATGAGTGGTGATGTTCAAAGCCTATTGGGGGGTAAAGAGCACAGGTATTACACAAGAACAGCTGATCGGTCTAAGACCTCCCTTACCCAGAACTGTAACTAATTTTCACTTAGGTTGTTTAGCAGACACTTCTACCCAAAGTGACTTAAAAACCAGGCAGATAAATTATCACAGCATACAGTCGTCAAGGAGCCAGCTGAGGTACAACAGCTGTGAGACTGAACTTCCAGTGAGGGACCAGGAACAATGCAAGATGACTGTCAGAACAACAGCTATACAAACACTACTTAGTATGTGATATGAGAAAAGCCATTTGCATAAATAACACCAAGAGGATCTAGTAAGAACCGAGCCTAAAAGTGAAAGAATCTACTGGTGCCGTGAAATCATCTCAATGGAACAGCAGCAAAGACAGTGAGCTGGGCATCAGGGTAGAATGACACTGGAATTGGTTATTTATTAATAAATTCAGATCAGCCAGTTCAGCCGGCCAAACTCACAGCGAGCAGCAACTGGGCCTGGATGTACTCATCCACATCATGTAGTCCAGTCACTGAGGAAACAGGAAGGAGGACCAATCAGCAGTTTCTGCTAGAACCATTGGCCAATTGGGACAGGATCACAGCTTTGCATTGTACCCTCATTAACAGAACCATCTGTGACACTGAAATATCTGCCTTTAAACATTTCATTATATGTAATGCAAATAACGCTGAAGGCTTCCACTGATAATCAAGATTAGCTTCTAATTTCATTAATTAATGCCAGATTGGTTCAAAATTACTTGCTATTTACCATCAGGGGCACCGTCACAAACCACAAGGTCAGCAGGCTGCCCCTCAAAGTGCTTGATTATTTCCTGGGCTGTGGAAGTCTGAAGAGAGAGAATATCAGTATACGGAGTACACCCCAGTATGTAAATGTATGTATATAACGGTAAGTGATGTGCTGCGCTCAGTGAGCCATAGCCCCCCTACACCTGCCTTGGTGATGTCGCCCTGGATCTGTGTCACTCCCGGGAGTGGAGCCATGGCCTGAAGATCGACAGCAACGATCTTGGCCTGCTCCTTCTCCTGCTCCTTCTCCTGCTCCTTCTCCTGCTCCTCCCCTCTGCAACAACACAAGGGAGGGTACCAGTGACTCTCACACATAGGCAGTTTTACTATAAGACACAGGTAGGCAATCCCTCCGGGCCTCATGAATTTTTATTTGTGTTTTTTTACATGCCCACAAAATGTCAGTAATAAGATGTAAAGGGATTTCTAAGTGTTACTTATGTAGGTAGAAAACACTTTTTCTACACTGCCAAAATGATTTTGTGGTTTGTTTTAGCATTATAAACACTTTACTTAGGATGGTGACCCTGCAAAGACAGTGGACTCAAAGACAGAACCCTCAGTAACACTCGATAAAAATCTTGTGTGAATCAGTACAGTGGTCTCAGTGTCGAGCAGATTCTCACACTATGTGTAGTTGCCCCAGTCCTGAAAAAGTGTCAATAAAAATGTAAATAAATCCCTTATCTGTGCTTAACTGTAGTTTTTCTTCTGCATTCCATTTCTGGCATAACATCCTATTTTTAGAAAGTAATTCACACCACCAACCAAGCAGCAAAAGATGGGAAATGACACATTTTATGGCTTCAGGCTATTTGGAGGGGGGACCCTAAGGGAAATCTATGGGACTCTGACTGCAAGTTTGTTTATGTCTGCAGCAAACACTTTTTTTTTTTTTTTTACACAATAGGCTATACAACAAAGAAATCAGAATATCGAAAAATCACATCAGCTGCAGTTTCGGCAGTTGCTGCACTGGATTGCTCTGGCCTATGAAAGCTCTCAATCCTCGGGTAAACACGGATGACGTCACTGACGGCATTGTAAACAGATGTAGTTTTTACTATGTTTGCACAATTTAGCTTGTTCTTTGGAAAAATGACTAAAACAGATATGGATCATTTGGCCCTTACTGAGTTACGGATACTGAGGTCAGCATACTTTGAGCAGTGGGTGCTTTGTTATTCATGTAAACAAAAAGGAAGTGCACATTTCGACTGACATCCATGTTGAAATACTATAAGTATATCACTTTTAATGGTATTATGATCAGAAAATTACTTAAAAGTAACAGAAACCTTGATGTTTTTATTTAATCGGTTTCAGACTTTTTTTTATTTCGAAAGAACAAACACACGTTTACACAAGGTCTTTGTGGGGATTCCAGTCATTTCTATGGACATAACCCTAATCCCAAGTATGACAACCTTTTACTCGGTAATTCTTATGTCTATTGAAATGTCTGTCAAGCACCCAGGGGGATGGGAGCTTTATAGAAGTAAACGGGATTTTGATCAAGCACTTGTCCAGCGCCTTACCTCAGTTTTCGGCTCAGAACTTGGCTCCAGCTTCCCGGAGCCGCGCACAAGTCCACCGCTCGCCGCACACCTGCAGAAAGCGCACCGACTTTGTTGCATTACAAGATAGACTTTTTATACATTCCTTTGCCTGAGTATTTCTGAATGAAGAGATTTTCTGGTAACAGGGCGAATCACTGAACTCGGACGCAGCCCACTTGCTTGTGAACCACGTCACGGAGCTGGGGCCCACCTTTAAAGAGGTTGAACTCCTCATCCAGCTGCAGCAGCTTGAAGGCACTGCGGGCGCGCCAGCCCTCCTCTTTAGCGAGCCGGTAGTAAATATCCCGTTTGTCTTTGGAGGAACGACCCATGGCAGCAAGCTGTCACACGACCCTTTTGTGTAGAGAGACACGGCGGATGACTGTTAACGCTGCGACATCACCCTCATCCAGCTTCAGCTCAGCCTCTAACTTTGCGATACAGTACTTTACTGTACATTTATTTATCCAGCCTTCACATTCAGGACGCAAACTCACCTATTCGATATCAGAAATGCCCACGGCAAGAAAAGAAAAAACAAATAAATAACCGATCACCATCAATGTTAAGTTCTCAACTGACAACGTTTGTAAACCCGTCATAAATTGAAAACACAAACACGTTACGATCTCCAGACTGCTACTGCGTGCGAGGACCCCTCTGTCCAATAAAATGAGACGCCTTCTCGCTGAGCTGTCCTGAATGATGCCTGAATAAAAGTGTTCTTATTTTAAAAGTGGGTGTCGCTAGTTATAGCATTTTATATATATATATGTAACATACGTAGAACATAAACAAATTATATCATATATATAGTCTGTCTGAAGCTAAGCAAGTTTGGGTCTGGCCAGTGTTTGGATAGGAGACCAGTTGGATTGTTGGACTGTGAAGATCCTGGTGTTTTACTGTAAGGCAGGGGTCTCCAACTCCGGTCCTGGAGAGCTACCGTCCAGTAGGTTTTCTATCATACCTGGCTTCTGATGAGCCACACCTGTTCTCAGGTAAATACCAGGAGCAGGTGTGGCTCATCAGAAGCCAAGTGGGACAGAAATCCTACTGGATAGTAGTTCTCCAGGACCGGAGTTGGAGACCACTGCTGTAAGGCCTCATTAAGGGTTGCTTGGTATCTTTTGGAAAAAGTAGGGGTGATGTCCTGGCTAAAATCTGGCCATCTGTTTTCTCAGGTTACTTGGGGGGGGGGATTGTGTATGGTGAGAACTAGGGTGTCTGGGAGCAGTCTGGCTGTGCAGGCTCCACACACAAGGGGCCACAGGGGATTTGAACCCTGGTCCCTGGGGTGGGAGGGAGCAGTGCTATCCACCCCAAATACATATGCTGCTTTGGTCTGGGGAAAAAATGTATTGATATTATTTGTTTCCATTTATATATGTGGGATACATTTTTGTTCGCTGGGAACAGGTTAAACACAAATGTAAGCAAAGCAATCAACGAAATCGGAACAGCGGAACGTGTAACCTTGGCGGGGTGGTAGGAGCTCAGTTTGTCCACTAGATGGCAGTGTTCACAAGCGGATAGACGTCCTGTTATACAAATAGTATAAACAGTTGGGATGTTTAAATAATGTTACATTTCAACTGATCAGAGATTAAATCGGATTCATATAAAATGTAACCAGCGTATCGTCAGGAGTTTTAAATGCGACCATATACAATTTGCACATGTACGTTTGTATATTGTATGTTTTCCTGTTCTGATGGTAATATACTTGGAGTTTTGAGTTCAAGATGTATTCAAACGGAGTAGCGGCGTAATCTCTGAGGAATAAGCAATGTAATCTAGTTTTAATAATTGTACAAAGATGCTCTTTCTCTTTTTAACTCAAACTATGAATGAACATGAAGGTGATCATTTCAAAATGACATCAGCGCATCAGTCTCGGTCCGGGAAAGGTGATTACGGCTTGGGTCGCTGTTACGTCTGTGCGCTGATTGCAGAGCTGCAAACTCTCCCGCATCTAACGTGGCACTCACTTTCAAACTCTCAACCTCACGCAAGAAATCTTACGCCAAATACATATTATTATATTATACATGTAAAATTAGCTACATCAAAAGCGCTGAGGTAGTTTGTAAACCCTATAGACAATTTACAAGGTAACACAACTCTTATAGGCCTACATACATGTAAATGCGTGTGCAGACTAGTCTCGAATTGAAAACCTCAGCCAGCTGACTAAATTTGGCTGTGAATGTCAGTACTGAGTATTATTATTGCCCGTGTATCTTCTGTAATATGATATAGGTGTGAGAGAATGAATTCTCGATGAAATCAATCTGTGGCCCTTTTATTTTCAAATTGATCCATTTGTAAGAGAACAAACACAGTGTTATGAGCCACTGGTGTCAGTGTTATCTACCCCTTGTGACTCATGAACTCAGTGACACTGTGTCCTGTCTCCTCCTGCAGGGGGGCAAACAGACAGTTTGTGATTCAGCAGGGACGGACCAATGAATGGCGGTATTTCCCATTACGTTTCCCACAACCACCTGCTGGCTCCACCCACCAAAGCAATGTCAGTCCTTGCCCCGATCGCTGACGTGAGTGTGGGGTGTGCCACTGAAGACTTTTGATTGGCTGGCGCTGCCTGTGGGACCATTAAGGGCAGGGTCTGCCGTTACTCTGTACGTTAGCAGAGGACATAGGGGGCGGAGGGAGAGATTGCTGTGGTGTCTGAGTGAGGAAAGGCTAGGTGTGCTGGAGAGTCTTGGGCTTCTCAGCACCGCTGAATCTGGGAAGATCTCGACTAAAAAGCATGATATTTCTGCCAAAAATGCCTTTTATTAAAAAAATATACAGGTGCGAATTAAGGTGGGGGCTAAATTAGGGTGACCTGATAATCCATGTCAGGGAGGACACTTGGAGCTACTTCGGGTTTTACAAACTACTTTCAAACTGAAAGGCTCCTGTGCTCGGCTTAGTAGATCAGCTCTTCTTGCGCTTTGATTGGTTTGTTTCCTTGACTGAAGGACTCATCCAGCTGTTTCACATTAGCATTAGTGACACATGCATGATTATAGGAGACTGACCAATCGGCACACAGCAAGAACTCAGTGCTCAAGTGAAATCAAGGTCCGTTTAATTGAAATGGTAATTTACAATTCCTGTCCTAGCTCAGAGTGTCCTCCCTGACATGGATTATCTGGTCACCCTAGGCTAAGTTTTGTCTAAATGCTAATCCCTACACTACTGCTAGATCAGGGGTCTCCAACTCTGGTCCTGGAGAGCTACTATCCAGTAGGTTTTCTATCCTACTTGGCTTCTGATGAGCGACACCTGGCCCTGGTATTTACCTGAGAACAGGTGTGGCTCATCAGAAGCCAGGTACAGTAGGATTGAAAATCGACTGGATAGTAGCTCTCCAGGACTGGAGTTGGAGACACCTGTGCTAGATTCTTGTGCTGTTTAACTTAATGTTGCTATTCATTTTGCTGCTTCTTTTAGTCTGTGTTCAGTTTTATGTTATTTATCTGGGTTCTTGTTTTTTTTACCAGAGAGTAGCAAAACATTGTTTCATTGTACTGAATGTATAATGACAATAAAGTTTCATTCATTCATTATAAGCTGCTTTGCCACCTCTATGCATCTACTCCGGGACAGTAAGGACATGCTTATTGTACCATTAAATTTGAAACGAGAGATGGGACAGGAGGAAGGAAGACAGGTGTGCCCAACCAAGGATTCAAAAGGACCTAGACTACAATCTGAATGGTTTAGAGGGGGGGTGAGCTATTATATCACACCTAGGCCCTTTCTGTGTAGATATGTTACATTGATCTTAGTTGTTACGGTTGGCTGTGTAGATATGTTATGTTGACCCGCACTCCCTAGTTCCAGGTATTCTGTCTTGCTTTTAAGGCTTGAGAGTGATTTACCTGTAATATGTCAGGCACATGTCAAGGCAGGGAGTCCAAAACAGGATTCAAATGGAGGACAGAGCAAAGGGAGAAGGTAGGTAGATGGGTGCGTGTGTGTGTGTGTGTGTGTGTTTAAAACCTGTTATTTTATATTTACATGTCCCCACAAAGATCTGTGAATGCAAGCAAAAAACTAAAAATGCCAAAAGTCTCGTATTTTGTTTGGTTACTTATGGTTAATGTTAGGGCTGGGTAGGGGTTAAGGTTGTCATGTTGGGATTAGAGTTTTTCCCATAGGAATGAATGGAGAGTCACCACAAAGATATAATTACAGACCTGTGTGTGTGTTTTGGTTGCAGCATGACTCATGATAAAAGTTAATCTCTAGTCAATCTATGGTCACATGCCCCGCCCACCCTAGGAGATCCCACTCACCAACCAGGCCCAGGTTCTGAGGTCATCTTCCCCAGGCACACTGATATGGCCATCAGCATGCTCAGGCCCTGACCTATGCACACGTGTGGTCAGCACTCTCTCTGTGGCCTCTTCACCTTCAGGGTGACATCATATGCGTTGAGCTCATCTCAGTATCTTGGGATGCTGGATCTTTACACCCAGAACTCTACCCTCTGCTGCGTCCCCTGAACAGTCGTTAAATGTTGACATTGTTGCACAGTGTGGTATATGTTACATTACAGTTAAACTTTCACAGGCCAGAACATAGATCAGTACAGCAGACATTAGACCTACGTCATATAAGTTGCGTTGGGTGTAAATTATTGCCTGCTGCTGAGCCATTACCTTCTTTATTTAATTCTCCCATACTTCCCACATATCAGCGGCACCTCAGAGCAATAATTCAATGCAAGCTTTTACTTCATGCCCACCACCGACACCACACATGAATCGATGGCCTTTCGCTCTCCTCTAATGGGCTTTCAGGTAATTCAGGTATAAGTATTCTGAGTATATAAAACAGTACTCAGGATTGCGGCAGCCATTCGCTGGTCTAGCAGCATTTATATTTTCAAAAGTATCGTTCATTATGAGACACAGACACACCCCCACTGGCTTTTCGTCCAATTTCTCTGTCTTTCAGAGCCACCAAATGCCAACTATCTGCCCTGATAAATATGTCAGTGAGGCTGCGACGCTCGCGGTCGGTCGGTTTGCGGCATGTCGCTGTGGCGCCGTTGTTGGAATAGGTGTAGCTGGCAAACTATCCCTGGCTCCCTCCTCCACCTCTGCGGCCGTCCGCATCGCTGCAGTGGCGCCAGAGACATGCGAGACCCTGTGCTGTCTGTGCTGTCTGTGCTGTCTGTGCTCCATCTGGCTACGTCAGCAAGGCCGCCCCAAATGTCAGACAGTGGCGAGAAGCGGCCCGACGTGCATGGCGCACACACACACTCCCATGCCCACTTCCTATGTGAGAAGTACCTGGTTCTCTCGCCCCACCCTGAAAGCGGCCCAAGGTCAAGCAGCACAGGCAAATACAGACACAGTGACACCCGGATCCAAACGTGTCTGCAGAGCGAACGAGATCAGAGTGTGTATGAGGCAAGTCTTATGAAACGCAGGCTGAAGGGGAATGCCTAATGAGGCTGACGGAGCTGGAGGGGGGCCTCCATGCATCCATGTGTGCTGTGGGAATGAGTCAGCAAAGGGGCTGTGCTGCAGGACTGCTTAGTGGCCACTTGGGGGCAGTGTGACACTTGGTGTTTGCTGGGCGAGGAGAACTGAAATTCACTGCAAGCTGCACTGTCATCAGCACCCTCCCCCCACCCCCAACAATGCAGCACTTGCACTGGAGGG